CCCCAAAACCCCAAAACCCCAAAACCCCAATTATGGAAATAATAATAATTTAGAGTAATACATAATTTTGTATAGATTTTAAATAAAATCAAACAATGGTAGATTTGCAATAGATATCTTATGAAAATGAATTCGAGGAATTGAAGTGTATTGGCAGAGGAAATTTTGGGGCAGCCTTTCTAGTCAAAGCAAAAAATTTGCCTGATGGTGCAGAGGAGATTTACTTCATCGCAAAAAAGATATTACTGGGTTAATTATCTTCGAAGGAATAAGAAGGAGCTCTTCTCGAGGTAAAATTATAGATGTTAATAAAATTATAATCCAGGCTAATTTGCTTAAAAACTTGACTCATCCTAATATTGTAGCTTACAAAGGAAGTTTTATTGATAAGGGAATTCTGATTATTATTATGGAGTTCTGCTCAGGTAATCATATCAGTATTAATTAATTTTTTTAAGTTGGTGATTTATCTTTCCATATAAAGAAGCGCAGAGCCAAAAATGATTTTCTGACTGAAACTGAAATTATGAACTGGTTTGTTTAGCTCTGCCTTTCACTTGAATATGTCCATGGAAGAAAAGTTCTTCATAGAGACATCAAATCTTAGAACGTGTTTTTAACAAGAAATAACACTATTAAACTAGGAGACTTTGGTATTTCTAAAGTACTTGAGAATACAAATGATTAAGCGATGACTGTTCAGGGTACTCCTTATTACATGAGTCCAGAGGTTTGCTAGAATAAACCATATACTTATAAATCAGATGTATGGGCTCTAGGATGTGTATTATACGAACTTTGCACACTCAAGCATGCCTTTAATGCCGAAAATTTATTGGGTTTAGTCTTCAAAATCGTTTAAGATAAACAAGATCCCATTCCAGCCTAATATTCTGATGATCTTAAAGTACTTGTATCTAAGTTGTTGAACAAAAATGATCAAGAGAGGCCTCATGTCTTAGATATTCTTAAAATGCCATTCGTCCAAGCACACATGCAAAAATTTGTGGAAAGCTAGGGTAAAATATCACTAGCCCCAACATTAAATGTCAGAAAAGACCTCTAACCATCTCAGGTTATTAAGGACAATAATTTACAATAAAAAGATGTAAGTACTCTTACTGCGAAAGAAATTCAAAGGCTAAAGAAAGAGCAGAGGGCAAGAGAAGAATTTGAGTTAATGAAGCAGGCAGCAGTTGAGGCTACTCAGAGAAGTAATCAGGCGAAACAGAGAAAATAATAAGAATTTCACTCTTCTTTTAATCAATCATATGCACAAGGAACCATTAAATCGAATACTGGAGGTGCCATGATGCAAGGCACTTAAGGAAGTAATAATAGCAATAATAATGGCATGTCAATGAGTTAGTCTCAATTCGAAGATAGCTTGAATAATAGAACTATGCAATATACAGAGAAATCAAGCACAGGGTTCTAAGAAGATATGCAAAGAGTTCAATAGCCTATAACTTAATATGATAAGCCCTTTGTCTAGAATAAAGATTATCTATAGAGACCTGATTACATAAACTTGAATCCAAACAATGAGGGAACTCTTAACTCCTAATTTTAGAATTTAAACATAACAGGTCGATCGAATGATTCTCTTAATCTCTCTGTAGTAAGTTTACTAAGTGTATAAAAGTTTAATTTAGACAGGGCAATCTAATCCTGACTTCTTGGGTACATTCATCACATTGAATGAGGAAGATAGGCAGAAGTATTTGAAAGATAACTTTAACCAAAATAATAAGCAAAATATGATGAGTCCTATTAGTGAAAAGGACACTGTATATGAGTAGACTATTTCAAGCAAAGGTTATGATCATAAAATACAGCAGGTGAGTACATTGTAGTCTAAACAGTAGAGTACCACTGATGAGGAGGATGATGAGTACGACGACGATTTTGAAGATGTAAGTTTAATTTATCCTAAAATTATGATATAGTATGAAGATGACTTCGAGGAAGAGGATGAAGAAGACAAATAAAATGAAAATCAAAAGAACTAATCCTAAAAGAGCAATACTGAACTTAATCAGGTGCTAGATCAATATAAAAGAGCACTTGATCCCTCTCAATTCAAGACTACATTCACCGAGTCATTTAAGCAAGGTCAGACTGCTTAGAATTCTCAACCATAATAAATTACTCCCATGCAGCAAAGATTAGATCAAAATAAGAGACTGATAAGTGATAAGATCGGAGCAAATCTATTTAACAGAGTATATCAACTCATAATAAATCACAGACTTAATGGCAGTGATGACAAAGTTGTAAGTATCACTTAAATTCAAAAAATGATTTTAATAGATATAAGGAGAGATAAAAAATATGGTTGGGAAAAACAGAGAGATCTAGAATTATTGTTTCCAAATAGATCAAATAGTATTTATGGAGATTACTAAATTCTGAAGCATTCATATTCAAATTTAACTTCTCACACTATATATGATCATTCGGGGTTTTGGGGTTTTGGGGTTTTGGGG